AACTCTCATTGACCGCGAAAACTCGTTTCAGTTCGACTTTGGTGGTAGGGACGAGATTCAGAGTTTCGTGTTGCCACGGTCATGTTGAGGACAGTGAACCTGGATAGTCGGTACGGTGCTGTGCCTTGAGAACCGAATGCGGTGAAGGTCATTGAGCTTTCTCGGTACAATTTTCGTCATGAGACGGGAGACCCGCATAGCCCAGTGCTGTGCTCTCATGAAATGTTGCTGTAGTGATCTTGGGATGATATGGGGTCCTATTCCGGAGACTAGGTCTCGCGAAGGTTATTACGTGACCCTGAGAATGATGTGTCGTTGAGGTTGCGTTAAGGGAAGTTGACGTGGATTCCTCGATAGTTGGGAGAGTCGCCCCAAAACCCGCGGGGCCTGCGGCCGTTGAAGTCTTTCCAGTCCCTTCTATACTCCTTCATCTTTTCCTTCTTTCTCTTCTCTGATACTCCGCGTTCCAGAAGGGCGTACCACTCGAGTTTCTGGGCCATTTCGAGGCTGGCGACATCTCTCTCCTCGATGGCAGCCTCGGAAGGAGTGAGTTCTCTGGAGCATCCGCAACCCATTGTAATGACTGATTTGTATGTTAGAGGAATGAGTGGAGAGAGGTTGTTGCGGTGGTTATAAATGTGAGAGAAAATGGAACCAATGACCAGCTGCGTGGTGAGAATATGCTGATCAGATTGCTGGTGAGGGACGGGACAGGAGCCGAGGATTGATGCGAAGAATCGGCCAGATTATGTGAGTGAGAGGAATGGGTGGTTTAGCTGGTGAGCATAAATGAATGCCAGCAGAGATGCTTTCGACTTGAACATCCTGGAAGAGCAATCTCCGTAACCTGTATGGTAAGGATTCACCCTCATGGTGTCCATGAGAGTTCCCACTTTCCAAAGATGTTGTCAACTTTGTCCACCATGGGAAAGAAAGGAGACAAGGTTGTCAGGCAGAAACCCGGAGTCCCGGTCATGGCCAAAATCCGCATCCCTTTGCGCAGTGTTAGTGAACTTTGCTGCCAAGCATCTTTTGGCTTCATTGCCCGGATGTCTGTCTCAATTGTGTGAGAGATCTTGTCAACAGTAAGGCTTCTCTTGTGAGTCTTGTCTTCTCTTGGCATCACCTTCCTTTACACAGCCTATGACACTTGCTACAATGCTTCAAAGTCTGATGAACAAAGGATATTCGTTGCAGTCATTTTGCCTATGTCACAAGAATTTGATGGCAGTGAGAAAAGGACTCATCTAGACGCTCTCACATTCATCACGAAGAGCCCTCCGGTACCCTACCTTGATAAGCCCGACCACTCAAGTGGACAGTTAGACCTGCGCCCCTACTGACATCGGGCTAAGGGAGACAGGTTTGGCGACAGGCAAAGTAGTAAAGGACAAACGCAACCCTGATAGCTTAAACACCTTTGCTTACGGACAATGCCAAAGGCTTCGACCGTAACGCTATGAATTGGCTTGGAGAAGAGGCCAGTAGTGCCGGAGATACGTGCAAACATCAAGTTATCAACGGCCAGGCTGAAGCTTATTCCACGTGCAGGTCTTGCAATGACCATCCGCAAGGTATCTCGTTATTCAGAAGCAGTTGAAGTATTATAGAAGCCTTCTTATGAAATTGACTAGTAGCCTCAGAGCGCGGATGAAGGGGCAGAGCTGTAGCGTACCAACTACTTCTATTACACTAACAGCGGAATGGGAACAACAGGAAGGTGTCCGTCTCTTACTTAGTAGACAGGAGACGAATAGAGTGTTAATCCGAAATCATTTCCGCTATAACCTCGAGTCAAAAGAATTCTTCATAGTCGAAAGGCGGAGAAAATATCTAGATCTTTGTGTTATCGCTTCTTTGTAGTTGATGCGATATTTCGACTCCTGGAGCACCCCAACTGTAACTCGAAAAATAGCGAACGTATTTTGCGCATGGAATATCGACACTATTGATGAATTCTATTAGTTTTTCCTATCCTTCATGGCTTCAGGTACATGAAGCTTTAGATACTACTCTCAGTCTGAGAGCCCATTGAGAGATCGCGCTAAAACATCTCAGCAGACCATATTCAGCACTGGAATCGTGTGTCTCATTTATTTGAGTGTCGCATGGATATCGGGTTTATCAGGCAGTCATTCGGGTGAGGCACTGCTATATTCCCAATCGACGAAGTCAATCTGTATGAATCCCCGCCAAGAACAAGATCAGAGCTACCAGTGCTCAAACCGGATGATGATATCATATATTGGAACACACATCATGCAAATTGCGCGAGGATTTAGAATGAGCGGGAGACATCACTATCTTAGAAAACAGTGTACTGTAAAGCCGAAGTATTTTTGAAGCAATTGGCCACGACAATGCAGCCGCTCATTGATAGAAGCATCCTTCAGTACACTGAGGAAGGTAAGATTGAACAACTATCCAGCGACGACCAGATAATCTATTGCTTCACGGTGGCTAAATGGAAAACGTAGCTGCAGGATTTGGCGGAGGCGAACAAACATGGTCACGTAAATGATTGAAAGAAGCATAAGTCTTACCTAGAATGTTGCCATTCAGCTTCACGATCGGCATGTGCAGCGTTACGTGGATGATGGTTGAATGTGGTTGAGCTGTTAGTGCAGGCAGCTAGGTACGCACTAGTCTTGAATCCTTCACCAAATCACTGTCGAGGCTCGTATACCTGCCCTTTCGGACGAGACTGAGCTGAACGGGTAGAAACCGGTCCGATCAATTGTGTCTCAATCCTGCAACCACCAGCGTGAGGTCGGCTGCGTTACCAACGGCTTGCCTCGGCCGAGTGGATTGTGGCGGCTCCTAAAGGGACCTAATATGTCATAGATCAGCTCTCAGATGATAAGGACTAAGCTGCCATTCGTCTGAGCAGGTTCGCCCGAACTAACGCCACTGCCGTCTCTTATCCCAACTTCCAACATACTTGTACGCCCCGCAACTTGCCATTGGGTGTTAACCGTGCCTATAGATACGACATGTCACCGAGAGGCAAGGCGTCGCCCGCAAAGTGAATGCGTCGGCTCCATCAAGAGACCCAGAGGGAGAGACCCAGCGTACCAGCCTGGCGGAAAGCTGCGTGGGGTTGATGAGTGACCACCAACGTACCAGGCTGGGATTCCCTATCTCTGGGTTTGCCTGCTACCGCTTGCCAGATGGCCAATGGGAAAGACCGAATTTCTTGCAATCATCAGGACATGCCATACTTCTTTGGTTCTTTAGCTGACCTTCTGCAGGGCGGTCCACAAGGCTAGGTAGGCCGCATGCTTTCCTGGGATGTCACTCACCTACCCGAGATACCGAGGAGACGCTGCAGCCGTCCGGATCAGAATGCGCGCTGGCTGCCCACCCCGCAGAAGATATTCTGGAATAAGGGTTCGGCGGCCGGGTATTACGGATGGAGCTCTCGCAACCTTTTTTGCCATCTCGCATGCCCATGTCCCGGAAACCACGCGAGGTGGTGGCCAAATGCATCCATTCAATTTCTAGGTTGCCCACATGAACAAGCCCATGTCTGTTTGCCGCATTGAAAATCATTACCAGCTATGATATGAAATTGCTGTGCGAGGAAGAAGGCATCTCCAGGCGGCATTGATGAATGCTTGAATAAGCACAAATTATTCCAATTTAATTGTTTGGCTGTCGCCCAGGGTGGTGGTGGGCAGTCGTGACACCGTGCCACCGCGCGCCACGCCGTCTTTTCCAGCCAGCGGGGACCTGGGGAAATGACAGGAACTTTACGTACGAGAATCCGTAATTCCAGTCGTTCGCGATAACCTTAAAACTGCTACCGAGGCGCTGGAGAATCTGTCGTAAATAGACTGGGAAAAAAGGGCATCAGTAATCGATGTTGCGGCGGTTTGTCAGGCGTAACATATCGCTTGCCTTCCTGTTTGTTCCTTCGCGTGATGTTTGCTCACCAAGTTTGTCCAAATGCTGTCCGCTGTGCTACAGTGAGAAAGACGGTGAGACAGTTGAGTGAGAAAGGATGCCGAGGTTGCTGCCGAGTCAGTTGCGCCGATTCGCTGTTCCTGGATAGATGTGCTGAATGAATGACATCTCCCATCTTCATCGCCAACGCAGGAATACCGATACAATCAAATCTGACCACAACCGCATTTCCAAGGTCCTTTTGCGCGGGACTATCGCGTGGGGCGGAGGTCACCCATCAGGAAAGTCTCCAAGCGCAGTCGGACGAACCAACCCTCTCCAGCAGCTCGGATCTTAAGCGGCAGGCATCCTTCAACCGTGTCAACCCAGAAGGGCGCGCCTACGGAGCACAGAGGGACGTTTGTCACGCCTTCAGAGGGGCCATTTGCGGAGGGAACGAAGGGGTGGGAGGGGTCTCAGGAACTTTTTGTTCATCCACTTGTGTCCAGAATGCTCAACTTGTCAGTGCTTGTGTCATTAACCTGACAGCCTCGAAGCCAACTCGACGCAATGATTGGCCTTGCTGCCGACAAACCATGACATGGGTGGCATCATTTGCCGTCTCTTCCGACGTCCTTCCCGAAGAGTGCAGATTGTCGCTCTGTTCTCGCGCCTCTGAGTGGCCAGCAGAGTCGGAACTCGCTTCTCTAGCTCTTCTACTCTCGCGTGCCTTTGCAGGGATTCAACTCGGGTGATTAACTGAGAAAGTCTTGGCCTCGAAGGCTTGAAGGGGGACAACCGCGCTAGACAGGCATCATCCTCGGACCCCAAGGTCCCTTTGCTATCGGCAGATCCACTGAAAGCAGGGCCCTTTTGCATTGAACGACTTTTTGTCGGAGGAGTGGCGACGCGGGTTGGCTAGCTCGCAGCCACCAACGCGTTGGTCTTGTTGCCCTTTTCCTCCTTTTGGCTCTAGCGGTCGAGCCTGGGGTACGACCTGCGGCTTCTGGCGATGCTTCCCACGCTTCCCCGACCTTGGCCACCCGTCTTGGACATTGCTTGAGTTGCTTGAGATGTGCTTGGCTGCCAATCTCTCTGCCACACCCGGCGACGCCATGCCCTCCCGCGGTGACTACCTGCTCTTCTCGTGCTTGGCGCCCAGCCCCCTTGGCGATCGATCCGGGAGGCGGCTCTTTGAATGGCCTGTTGAGGGCGGAACGACTCACCTCGATGCTCTCAGTCAGCTCTCTGGCTCCTGTCAGTCTGACAACCCCGACGTTGTGCGCCCCATGTCGTCAAGTCAGTGTGCAACTTTGGCGGCTGGAAGATGGGAGGCGGCGGTGGCCGGCGGCACGACGGCGGAGGAGGGTAGCGGGATGGATCAATTGCCAACGCCCCAACGCCATTCCCGCTCAAACGGCGCTCAATGGCCCTGGCCTAACCATCGAATGACAAGAGGCCTCTTGGTCATTTCTGGGAGGCGGACAGGCTCCGCGACCGCACCGTCGAACAGTACATGAGTACCTAATTTGCTCCAGTCACCGAGAAAGGCCTATCAGGGGGTGGAGAAGAGACGGGCGGAATGAGTCCACCCCCAGAGCACCCCACCACTCCCACAATCCAGCCCGTTCCTCCTCGAACTGCTAGTTCGTTGTCTGCAGTTCTTCGGGTGGTCCTCATCTGCGAGAATATCGAAGTATCGAACGCGGGTTGGTGGGTTGGTCGGTTGACTCTCTGTGCCGTGGTATCCTATCAAACGGCACGATCACACCTCTTACGAGCAACTAGAACCGTCCCTTCCCACCCTTCTAGACGGTGGCGAGGAAGGATAGACCCAACAAGAGTCCTCTCGAGACGAACGATTGGTGCATATCAGGGGCGATTTCGTTTATCGGTCACGTCAGTGCGTCTGTCAAGGACAAGCTACCGCCCGTTCCACGGCTCCAGGTGTGTGTAATCCATAGGAGACACACACACCCTCTCGTCCAAACAAGCTTCCGCTTGCATCCAGCGCAATATCTACATAGTAGCCTTTTCGTATCGCCCGATACTCCGCCAGGGGTTGACCCGCTTCGCCCACGACTGACTCCATTAGGCAGGTCAATATCTCGGCCCACTGGTCGCCGATATGGCAACCGATCATGGAGCCCATCAACGAGGCCCTGGATGTGCGACGCATCTAAATACTACCCGACGCGCTCTCCCTCGTCGTGCTCGATTTTGATTTCTTCAGCCCACAAGCTCTACGACCAGAGACTCCCCCCTTTGAGTTCCATTCTTTTGAGAACTCAGGGTGCAACCCGAACGCAATACCAACCCGGTAACCAGTACCTGAAAGACTGCCAACCATGGCCTTCAGCAAGTGGAGGGGCAAGGTCGGAGAGCGGCCCATCGTGGTCGACGCCGTCTCGACCGGCGTCGATGCCAACGGTCTCGAGACCGTCAACCCCGAAGCCGAACTCAAGAAGTTCAAGAAGATTCACAAGTGGGATCCCTTTTTGGATATTGACAAGCTCGATGCCGCCGACGCCGCCGTCCAGTCTGGTGACTACGAGAAGGAGGCTGCCGTTGAGGCTGCTCTCCACGAGGACTCTCCCTACCCCGAGGTCCGCGCTTCGGTAAGTTTATTCAACGTCCCGAGTCGAGCAACGGGCGTCATGACTAACAAGCTCAGGTTCAACCTTTTGACGATACCGAGCTGCCCATCAACACCATCCGCGCCTGGTCGATTGGTGCCATCATGTGCACAATCATCGCCGCCTGCAACATTCTCCTCGGTCTCCGTCGCTCACCCATCATCATCACCTCCACCGTGGTGCAATTAATCTCCTACCCCCTCGGCTGCTTCTGCGCCAAGGTCATCCCGGAGATCAAGTTCAACCTCTTCGGTCACGAGCTCAACACCAACCCCGGCCCCTTCAACGTCAAGGAGCACACCATCATCACCATGATGACTGCTGCCGGTGCCACCGCCAGTTACGCCATTGATATTCTCCTCGCCCAGGAGATTTTCTACAAGCAATACTTTGGCTGGGGCTTCCAGATTCTGCTCATTATCTCGACCCAGGCCATGGGTCTTGGTATCGCCGGTATTCTGCGTCGCTACCTCGTCTGGCCCGCCGCCATGGTCTGGCCCGCGACCCTCATCACCACCACCGTCATGCACTCACTTCACGACCACTCATCCTCAGATCCCGCCCTTACCAACGGCTGGAGGATCGGTCGCTACAAGTTCTTCCTCATTGTGGCTGCCGCTACCTTTGTCTATGAGTGGATTCCTGAAGTGTTTGCTCAGTTCCTGCAGATCTTCACATTTGTCTGCTGGATCGCCCCCAACAACGTTGTCGTCAACCAGGTCTTTGGTGGTCAGACTGGTCTCGGTCTTATCCCCATCTCCTTTGACTGGAGTACTATTTCCGGTTTCTTGCTCTCCCCCCTGCAGACCCCGGCTTTCGCCATCGCCAACGTCGGTGCCGGTATCATCATCATGATGCTTGGCTGCATCGGTCTTGCTTGGGGCGGCCCCGAGTTTTACCGCTACCTCCCCATCAGCGCCAACTCCAACTTTGACCACTTTGCTCAGCCCTACAACACCAGTCGTATCTTGACTCCCGAGTTCACCTTCAACGAGACTGCCTACAAGGAGTACTCTCCTCTCATCTTGGGTCCTGCGTTCTCCCTGTCTTACGGCATGGGTTTCGCTGGTCTCATCAGCACCCTCGTTCACGTCGGTCTCTTCTACGGCCGCGACATCATCGACCGCACCAAGTCTGCTTCCAACGAAGAGGCTGATATTCACCTCAAGCTCATGCGCCGCTACAAGGAGGCTCCCGAGTGGTGGTTCGCGACCATGTTCGCTGTCAGCTTTGCCTTTGGTATGATCGCTTCCCAGGTCTGGAACACTCACTTGACCTGGTGGGCCTACATCATTTGCATCATCATTGGTGCCTTCTTCATTCTTCCCGTCGGTATCATCCAGGCTGTCACCAACCAGCAGACCGGTCTCAACGTCATCACTGAGATGATTGTCGGTTACATGACGCCCGGCCGCCCCGTCGCTATGATGTTATTCAAGTCTTGGGGTTACATGCTCTGCTACAACGGTCTCCAGTACGTGTCCGACATGAAGGTCGGCCACTACATGAAGATTCCTCCTCGCACTATGTTCGCTGCCCAGACCTTCGCCGTCGTTTGGCTGTCCCTTGTCCAGATCGCCTCTTATAACTTCCTTCGTGGTAACATTGATGGCGTCTGCACTTCCCATCAGGCCCAGGGTCTCACCTGCCCCAACGCTCGTACCTTCTACAACGCCAGTGTTATTTGGGGTGTCATTGGTCCCCGCCGCATGTTTGGTGCCGGTCAGCTTTACTCTTGGGTCAACTACTTCTGGCTCATCGGTGCCATCTGCCCCGTCATCCAATTCTTCCTCGCCCGCCGCTACCCTCGCAGCATGCTCCGCTACGTCTTCTTCCCCGCTATCTTCGGTGCCGCTGGTATGATCCCTCCTGCCACCACCTGGTGGTTGGGACAGTGGGTCATTGTTGGTCTCATCTTCAACTGGTGGGTTCGCAACCGCTTCTTCGGCTGGTGGAGTAAGTCTTTCCCCATCTGTGACTGGTGCCCCACTTGGACTAGTCGTTGTCATCCCGTGTGCTAACCCAACTATCAGCTCGTTACAACTACGTCCTCTCCGGAGCTCTCGACATCGGCACCGCTCTTTGCATCGTCATCTCCGGACTTGCTCTGGGCCTTTCTAACACTGAATTCCCTGATTGGTGGGGTAATAATGTGATGGTATTTCGGCCCTGAATCTATTCTAAATTGTCCAATCAGCTAACTGGTGATATAGAACAACAACCTCGACGCCGAAGGATCTGCTGTCACGAAGATTCTGCCCGACGATGGTTCTACTATCGGACCTACACACTGGTAATTTGGTCAGATGGCAGCTCAGGGAGCAAGCGGGAGACATATGGATTGCATGCAATCTACATTGTAAAATGGTCAGATATGAATTACTACATAATCAAGTACGCTGGAAACAGTACCGTTGGTAATGTCCAAAGTGAATGTGTACATGATAACACCATTACAACAGCTGCTTCAACGCGGCTTTGTTCTCAAATGCAAAGATATGCCATCTCGGAACTCTCCTAGTACAGATGGGCCTCAACTCGGGTTGTTGACGAAGGCCAAGAGGTCAAGAGAAAGTCAGAGGATGCGAAGCGACCATGATCTCGCAGCTGACGCAAGATGCCTCCCATAAATAAAGCCTCATTTGTCATTTCGTTTATCTTTTAGAGACAGACACGGACGATCACACTCGCCTGAGCTGTTGAACGCAGACATAAGGATACTGGTGCATTTCTGGAACTCATGCAATGTCATCGTGAACTACGCCGCCAAGGAACTCATCATCAACTATTATTGGTCCAGCCAACCTCTCAATAGAAACGCTTCTTATCCTAGTAGTATACTACGCTGAATACAACGATGACGCAAACTCGCTCACAGAACCGGACAATTCGAACTCTATACCTACGAAGAGGATGCAAAGGGAATGACTGCTGGTAGCCGGCGGCCGGCCCTTGCACTAAGATGCTAGGGACAGAACGGCTCACTCTTGCCAATCGCTGTGAAGCAGAATATGGCGTCTTGGGCCTACGCCTCTCAACATGCAGAATAGTGCGGAGCGTTTCACCTCATAGCCTTTATAGGTAATTCTTTGCATCTGTTAATGGTAGGAACTGCCTCTTCAAGGGTGAGTAGTAGAAATCAGGTTAATCAACACCCGATAAATATTGGGACACATATCAGAAGGGCGACTTAAAGGCCTATACGGAGCTCAGCAATCTGGTGATCAACTGCGTGCTGGTGTTGAGGGGGAACGTTGCTTGGTGTAGCCCACCGATCCTGCACGAGGGCTAAGTAGTGGAAGTGATATGTGCACAACCCAAGTCGCCTTTCAAATCCACCTTTTCGTCTTTTTATGTACCAACTTCAGCGGATCTAGCCAACCCAGCGCGTACCTCGATTACACCAAAGTCCTCTCTCGAGTAATGGTTCTTGTAGGTTATTCTCTGCCTGGTAAAAAGCCGAGTAAAAGAAGAAATCACGAGCCAAACATGAGATTGGCCCGTCGTGTCATCGGTAGCCTACAACTCGTCAGTGCCTTCCTTCCCTTCCAATATGTTATGGCGCGGCCCAGGTGCTACAGCGACCAGTACTCTGTAGGTACTTGACACAAGCCATCGTTTCACTCTGCCTCGAGGCGGGCTACCTTACCTTACCCTGGCGTGTAGCAATCTATCGTGTAAGACAAGCCAAGGAAGCGCCGGGCATTGTGGCTACGAAATGGGCGTCCCATGCCTGATGCACCTTTACCATTGAACTCGATGTGTTGTTATCACTGAGTACGTCGCCGACTACGATACGTGCCCCCCACCCCAGTAAAATTATAAGATACTTAGGTATCGTAATGCGGTTGCGTCAAGAACAGCACCTTGAGTTCCAGGACGCCGACCCGCTGCTGCAACGTCTTATCATATTCATCCTTCATCAAGCTCAAGTGAATAAAATTGCAAGCGGTTAGGTCATTTTCTGCTCAGTATACCGTACCTTACCTTACCTTAGTAATTGAGAAATTGGCCAAACAATCTAAGGCATATTGGAGTCCGGGCAGGTACAGCAAAGCCGGGATAATTATCTCACCTTGGTACCTACCTTACCTGAGATGTGCGGCTAATTTTGACTAAATTATCGAATTGTGGGTATAATACTGGGCTCTGATTGGCCAAATATATCGGTAGTTGAGGTGGAGACCCGAGGGCCCACCGTGCGGAAACGGACCGCCCAGCTTAGCTTACCTACCTTAGCTGAACTTCGTCTCGAGCTCTTCTTCCTTTTTTTCTTTTCCTCTCTTCAACGCAGACCGGTTACCCGAATTTTACGCGATCGCCTCCACGCAGTTAAATTCGGAATTCAGGGTGTTTACACAATTGGAAAGCTAACAGTCTACAGATTTCGGACTCTTTTGTGAAGCAAACCGGACTCAGAGATATCAGGGGTCAGTTTTCGACTACCCCTATTTTATTACTTAGTAATAGTTTTCTCTGAGAAACGAGGCGACTCGCAAGAGTCCGTGTCGGTACGGCCAAGGCGGGGACTTGGGTAGTAGATAGCA